TTGAGAACTTAATTACTGCAGAATTCAAGTGCTCTGGATAGCTTTCTAAAGGCACCTGCCTTCCTCCATCAATTATCTGCCTAAGAAAAGTGCCTGGCACTAGGCAGTATAAATACTGTTCCCCTCCAGTATTGCTGACAACAGGTAAGGAAGAGAGAGCCCTGGTTCAAAATGACCACAGGAGATCCTGTCAAAACAGTCAGAAATGTGGGGAAAAGGGGATTTAAGAAGGGACTTCCCTGTGGCTTTTTTTATGCTGAAGCATTTTAGCTTTCAGTCTCTTCAAAAGCTGACTTTTCTTCTTGCCTCACTTTCAGAATGAAGAAAGCGACACTAGTCCCAAAAGGAACATATTCAAATGTATTACAGATACAGGCTTTTAGTGAGCTTTAGTGACATGGGAAGTTTGAGACATCTGTGTTATCAGACTGCTAATAATATTAGAGTCATGATAAAATCTGATGCTAGGTGCTATATTTCTTAAGGCACCTGTAGCTTACTTTTTGTTGACTGCTTCCTCCTATATGACCAGGTTTCCTTGTAAATGCTTAAAAATGTCATTCTGCACTCCAGGACTCAGCACTTCAGCTTTTTCATAATAAATAATCTGAATCTGTCTTCTAAGAGAAAAACTTACCTCACCCCTAGCAGCTGAGTCACTACCAACACAGTGCTGTAATATTTTTATTAATTTCTGTATCACTTTATAAAAGCAATCTAACAGCATGTTTTTTTCCACCACTGTACACTAACCAGATGGTTTTCACTCTATTGTCCACAGTTACACCCACATCTTTTTTTTCTTAATGCTTTCAGTTAATTTAGAAATCATTAGTGATTATGAAGAGCTGAAGTTATTCCTTCCAATATGCTTTACCTTCCACTTGTCCACACTTAATTTCTTCTCCCATCACGCTGCCCAATTAATTAGGTTTGGCTGATCCCTCTGAAGCTCCTCTGTCCTCTCTAGATTTCACTAATCTGATAATTTTAATAGCTGCAAATACAGCCTAATCTGTTCCCTACCCCCCCGTCATAAATATATATTTAAAATCCTGCTGGCGCAAGGGGTGCTGAGTGTCTTTGAAAAGCAGGCACTGTCTGATGTATCCCGGGTCCAGCTTAGTGCATCTGGCTGAGTGATGCCTTAGAAGGAGATGTATGGTCATCTTGAGTGTAATTTGGTTTCCTTTTATCTTGTCTTCTCTCTCTTTTTCTGCCTTTTTGAGGACACTCTGCAGCTGAGTCGTCACCTTGGTAGAAACCTTCCAATTATTTGGGGTTTTAGTATTTTCTGTCCCTTTCTGGCACTAAATCTTTCATCTCAGCTCTCTGCTTGTGACTGTTTGGCAGGATTTCAGACTTCCAGTTTGAAGTGATCTGTTTTTTGGCTGTCAATAAAGCAATGTTACCAAATTTGTTGTGGCATATTTATCTGCTGCTATGTCTGTAGTTAGATGAAGAATGCGAAGCTCAGGACATATTGGCAGTGAGTTTTTAGTGTTTGATAGAACATAATCAAAAACAAAAACCCACCTTCCAGTGAAAGGCATCTCTGAAACACAAGCACAGCCTTTTACGCATGTATTTTATGTCTATGGCAACATTTTTCCTAATTACTTTTTGAAGAGAGGCATCATTTAGCTGGTATAACAAGTCCAATGTGATAATACGTCAGCTAATGTTTAATGTAATGAGATCTCATTTGCTTCTGCTGGGTGGGCTCTTGCCAGTGATCTCCCTCGCTGCTCGCGACTGAGAGCAAGGGGCCGTGTAGATATCCATTTTTCTTTCATTCATCCCAGTGGATGCATAAATATGGCAGTAAGTTTCAGCAGAGCAGGAAACGCTGCACATTACTGCTGCACTTTCTTTGAATTCTGTCTCTGTTGCTTCTTTGGTTAGGGAGGTTTCTGACCAGCGGTTCTTCCTGGGCGCCCTCGAGGCGGTTCGCTTCAGACTGGCTCTTCCGCGGTCCCGCAGCCCTTTCACACGGAGCCGCGCGAGGACCGTTCACGGCACACCCACGGACACTGCCCCTCTCGAACACGGACTGCATGGCTGCCAGTATGAAAGTGATCCCAAAACCACATTGCTTATGCTGTTTTTCACCATAAGCACAAGCATGTACATGCAATATGTGTATATGTACATGCATATATTTCTCCCAGAGCTGCCTGCAGTCAGTGACTTGGACTGCAGATGCTAATATGGCCTTATCATTGTTAAACCAGGAGAAACAGGGCTGCAGCTTTTCCCTGAAGTAATATCTGTAAAAGTTTGAGAGGGCTAATCTCCCACCCTGGCTGGGTAATTATAGCGCTTGCGTTTTAATCCAGCGATTGTGCGCGGCCCATGTGAAGGACAGAGCAGCCGCACTGCACTGACAAAAGCAGCTTGTGGGGATTTTGCAGGGGCGGCTGTGGCGGAGACGACGAGGCTGCGGCGACAGCGCTCTCTCTGATTAGCCGTCCTTTCTTCTGCCCTGCCGTTCCTTCTGGTGGGCATCTTGGCAGCTTCTGTCACATAAAGCCAGGGCAGCATCGAGGGCCTTAGCAAGCCATTTATCAGGATGCTTCATCCAGCTACTGATTTTATCCCTCAGGCTCCCCAGGGCACGGAGAGAAGGGGTTTGGAGCTCACATCTCACTTCCCAGCACCTCCATAGCCCCTCAGGCTCGGCTCCTCTAGGAAAGGCTTGTGCCAAATCTTCCCAGGCCTCCCCACGGGAGCCAAAGAGCTGGCTATGTACGATGAGACTTTGTCACTCCTGGCCCTCCTTGTTTGCTTTTAATTGGCACGGGCTGGCTGGACGTGGCTGCATGGGGTTTGAGAGCTGAGGCAAACAGCGGGACTGAGAAAGCGGGGGCCCTGCTGCGGGCTGTGCTCCAGCTGACCATGTGCCCACGGGGCATGAGCAGCTCCTGGGCAAGCGAGGAGGAGCCTCACTGCAACTCACACCAGGGAAAGCACTTGCCACCTGGGAAGCATTGCTCTCTGTTCCCAGCAATGCAGTGGTGAGTCCTGCTGCTTCCCCCTGCTTTCTCACGAGCCAGGGTAACAGTGTAGCCTGCTCCTATGTAGGAATCTGGGCCTGGACTCTTCTTGCAAAGACTCCCAAATCCTGGGGAGGTCACAGCTGGGGCACCCATGGGGATTTCAGCTGTGTAGGAGTAATAGGAGAGATAGAAAGGACCTTACAAGTCTTCTGCTCCATCTGCTGCCCCAAGGCAGGGTCTCCTCCACCAAGACCATTCCTGACAGATGCCTGTCTAACCTGGTTTCACAGACCTCTGGTGACGGAGACTCCATAGGGCTATTTTCTTAGCAGCTCACCCAAACCTCCTTTGCTGCATCCCACACCCTCTCCCTCTTGCCCTGTTCCCCAGGATGTGAAGAAGGGCTATTCCTGTCTCAGGGTTTGCAGACCACGTAGGAGGCCCCCTCAAGCTACACTGGCCAGTGTCCAGCCAACGGGGGACACCTTTTCCCTAAGGAGTGTCTTTTCATTAGTAGTAACTCTGCTCTAGCTGGCAGCAATTCCCAGAAGACAATGTCCTGGCTTAGCCCACCAGCCTGTGTCTGAGGACGCAAATTTTGGGCTTGCATCCTTCCCAAACCTGCCTGGGGATGTGGACAGCCAGCTACATGGTTGACCCCCAGGGAGCTGAAGCTGGCCAGTTCAGGGTCTTAGTGACACATGCTACTGGTTCCTGCTGTGAAGACACAAAGCCCAGCGCTCAGGGACTTGTGGGGGCTGTGGTCCCGCTGCTAGCCACTGTGATCCAACCAGTCCCTTTCGTTTTGCAAAATGATCTCATTACTGTTACTGGAAAGACACGTGCATCTCTGGGAGCCTGAGCAGAGGGATGCTGCCCTGCCATCTCCTTTCCTGGCCAGAGCCCCGCAGTATCTGGGAGCAGGACCATCAGATCTGCCTGCTGCTGCAAATAGCCCCTCATCTGTCAGGTCAGCACCTGGAAGAAGTCAGCTGGCACTGAAGATTATCTCAGACCTGCCGAAAAGCATATTGTTCCGAGCAGCCCCAGCTTCACGGTTGCGAGGGCCCTGGTGGTAGCTGTGAGAGGTGGCCGCAGGGCAGGGCAGGCGTCGGCAGCTCTGAGAATGGGAGCGCCACGCTGGCTCAGACCTCATGTCTCTCCAGGGCAAGGTCTGCTCTTGCTGGAAGGGATGGGAACAGCCAGCTTTCAGCTGGTGCTCAAATAGTCCCCTACCTGTAGGACAGGGCTTCAGCCTTGCACGTTTTTGCTAGCACTGATCACAATGCTGGCTACTCTTGAGCATTTGGATGCAGCTTGGCACCTTGTTGGTGGCCAGGCTGTGGAGGCAAGGAGGGACACACCTGTGGGGAAGGCAAGGAAGATGCCCAGGGACCCTGTGGGTACTGGGGAGGAGGCTGGGGGACAGGTGGAGGACGGGGTGGTGGGAGTGTTGGGGGCACCTCAGCAGAGGGGGCTACAAAGGGGTGAGTGAGGGCTTGATGGCACTTTGGGAGGACTGAGGAGTCATTTCTGCAGGTTCAAGCCCTACCACAGTATGCATGGCTCAGCGAGCCCCAGAGAGGTGGGGAGCAGCATGAGCTCCCCAGGCTTTACCTGGGCTCAGCAAGGGACACAGGAAGGCTGGGCTGCAGAGACCTCCGTGTCATCCCCCACTACGCTGGTGTGAATCCACATTAACTCCACAAACCAGACTGATACTCAAGCATGTGTGAGGTGAATCCTTATCCTGCCCGGGTCCTCATGGAGAAGGGCAGAAAAACACTCAGTGGAGCTAGAGAACAAGCCACCTGCCCCCAGGACGCAGCCCCCCAGCAGGGCTGCTTGACCCCTCAGCACAGGCTCCAGCAGTGAGAAATCCCTTTTATCTTTCTTCTTTAAGCTCTGCTTTCCAGCACTGGGTCTTTTCCTTGGTGGAGGCTCCCCCTAGGTGATGGGAGAGTGGGAAGGGCTGTGCCCTGGGAAACGCAGAAAACAGAAAAGGAGAGAAAGGACAAATCTTCTCGTTCGTTATCTAAATTAGCAGAAGAAATCATGTTGGGAAGATGCCATAAAAAAGCAATGGTTGCAATGCACAGCTCTCGTTAGAGAGTGTTTGGAGCTGATTATACCGTAGCCAGAGCGCGAGACCGAGCGAGCGAGTGAGCGAACGCAGGGTCTCTTGACACAAATGTGAAGTAAGGTTTTGCTGCAGCTAGAGGGCTTCACTGTGCACATCCCAGTACTGTGCCAGGGCTGCTGCACACCCCAGTGCTGTCTGGGGCTTCACCGCCCCGGCCCCCAGCGCCCCCCCTGCAGCCGCGGCCCCGTCGGGGCCCGCGCAGAGCCGCAGGACGCCTGCCCGGGGCGAGGGCCGTGGCCATCCCGGGAGCGGAGCTGCTCCCGGCCAGGATGATGCCTGCTGCTGCACTACTTCTGCCACCTCCTCTCCAACTTCGCGGGTGAACCCTTCTTCAACACACAGGTAAGAGACCTCGTGAATGGCTCTTGGCCGGGTGTCCTTGCTCCGAGGCAGACGAGGGGTTTCCCTGGGGTGCGGGTGCTTCTCCCTGAGGTCCTCAGGCTGCTGCTGTGGGGCAGCAGGAGGTGCAGGAGGAAAGCTAGCCTGGCGCAAAGCTTCGATTTGCCCCGGAGGGGTCTGCCCCTCCTTCAGAAAATGTGGAGGGGTCTGTAAATCAAAAAAGGCTGGCAGCTGCAGAAACGAGGCACCAGCAACCAGTGCAAAATTATTGGATAATAGATTCTGGGATGGGAAAAATGTAAGGATTTTACCAAAAGTTTTTGAGGTCAGATACGTTAGAGAAACTGCAAAGCTGCCTTGGACTGCTATGTAAATCTGAGGCAGCCCACCGGTCTCCCTCCCTGGCTACTCAGCCATCTGCTGAAGTTTGGGGGTTATTTTCCTTCCAGCTGAGGAGCTCTGGCAGCCCAAACCTACCACTGCCAGTCACCTCAGGCAGTGCATCCCTGGGATGCACCCGGCTGGCGGCAAGGGAAACGGTCCGGGGACCTCAGTCGAGAAGGCTATTAGCAGTGCAGGTAACTGTGCCAACAAAATGACTTGCTCGAATAGCACCTTCTACATGCATTCCTATAAATGCCCTTCCAGGCTGGTATCTGTGGGAAGAGCTGTAGGTTAAGGAGTTTCGAAGGGAAGTGCTTTCCATGCCTGACCAGCACCTGTTTATAATTCATGCTCCAAAGCTGCTGCAGGTTTCACAAAACCCATGCTGCTCTCCACAACCCACTTTACTGGGCTATTTGCTTAGCTTCCAAAAAATAAATTTCCTTTTCATGAGCCCAGGATCTGCCACCAGCAGCAACCGTTTTCCCAGGAGGACCCCAAGCGGAAGGTAGCATGCTGTGTACATAACAGGGATAACGGGCGGAATGGGTCGGAGGCTGCCCGCGTCGCACAGGGGAAAAAGCCTTGGTCTCCGGGGGATAATAGCTGGTTACTTTGTAGGCTGTCAGAGGAAGGAATTACTCAATCCAAAATGTGGTGACTGCATTTCTCCGGCAAAAGTTTCTTGTGTCATGAAAATGGCTGGCAGATCTAAAGCTTTGGGGAGCTGAATCTGCTTCACTTCAACTCCCCGAGCCACCATCAGAGGCAGGTAATAAACATGATTATTAAAGAATGAGTAATTTGCTGCAGCTCCAGCATGGTGAATTTGTACAGCAAATCCCTGCTTTCGTGTGGTACCGAACCCCTCCCTGCCCTCAGCCCAGCCTGCAGACGTCAGCACCGCTTGCGGAGAGGTGACCAAGCGCTCTCCGGAAACTTGGCCATTAAAATCCCCCTCTGCCACCCGCAGCTCTGCAGAGCAAGCCCCAAAGGGGCCATCCTGCCCAGCCTGGCAGCCTGCGTCGGAGCAGCCTGAGGACTGTAGGGAACACTTTTACTTGCGATAAAAAACAGCCTGTGCCCAGCAAGGCTTTACCTGGGTGCTGCCAGGCAGCACGCCCAGGCTGCATGACGTGGAGGGCAACAGGAGCCTGCACAGCCCCGGGGATGTCACCATGCAGGGGAGAGGGGCCTGTGCCGCGGCAGGGTGCTCGGTGCGCGCGGCGTGGGAATCGCCCCGTCACACGCGCGGCGTGGGAATTGCCCTGGTGCACACAGCACGGGAATTGCCCCGTTGCACGTGGGCGCTCCAGGCCCTCGTGGCTCCGCTGAGGGCCCGGCTCCCCCAGAGAGTGGCTGGTCAGGGTACCAGTATCCCCGGTATCTCTCTTTCCTCTTCCCGACTTCGTGCCCCTCCTCTCATTAAACATCTGTGTTTGGAGTTGTTTGCCAGCTCTGCTGCAAGCATTTTCTCCAAATTAGGCAGATTTTTCTCTTTTCTGCCTATTTTCTGGAGCCCTGTAACTAAGCCTGGGACTGCCAGGCACCGCTCACAGTACAAGTCTTTCCTCACTGGTCTGACAGGGTAATTTTAGGCAAGACTTTGAACCAGTATTTCTCTATTTGTAGAATTAGTGGTGGGCAAATGATTAACTTTTCCAGCTGAGGTACCAAGCCACAGCATTAGGAGACCGGGGCGGGGGGAGGGGGAGTCTTGTATAGATCTCCTTGAATTTATCTTGCTGTTGCAGTTTGTCAGTAAACTGAAAAAGGCGGCAAAGCAGTCAAAACGCTTTGGGCAGCCTGGGAGGGAAGGCTCTGCTTACCTCCAGCACTTTCCAAGTGCATCACTTAAAACGGAGCTTCGTTTTTGAGCAGAACATTTCAGATGCCTTTTGAAAAATCAAAACCAGTCACAGAATTTGACCCCAAACCATATTTTTTGGAGGCTCAGCTATTCACATGACAAATCTCCTCCAGCGCTGTAACCCTGGGCTGAGGCACCCGGCCTGGCACTGTGCGCGTTGGCCAGGGCACGCTTGCAGCCAGCTCTGCAAGGCGACGTCTTGCTGTCGCCAGGCCCCTGAGGTCCCCAGGTCCTGTGGCAGTCTTGGCAGGGCAGCGCAGGCCAGCGTTGCCTTAGGCCCAGCAGACTCCGAGGGGAAACAAGCTTCCCGGTTTTACATGTGCACGGACAAGGGAAGCACCTGGATGGGGCACTCGGTCCAGGACTGGTTTGGAGTGACACCACTGGGCCTCCAGCTTGCCAGCGCTCAGGGAGCCCTGCAGAAAGACAAGGCTGCTAAGGCCGTTATCACAGCCACTCCTGAGCACTGCAGCTCTGCCTGCTTTTGCATCATCTGTGATGGTCATTAATTAGGCTGTGCTGGATCACTGGCCATGCTCACGCCAAGCAGCACCGCATCCTCCTCCCGCACCACGCAGCACCCGTCAACTTGCCACTTTCCTTGCTCCCAGTCCAGACGACTGAACTGGCCTCGAGCCCAGGAGCCTGATTTTCCATATCATCTCGTAGGGCATGTTACAACATCTGTCAGGATGGTCCCGAGGGGCTTCAAGCACCTGGACGTTTCATGGGAACAAGCAGCAGCCTGAAGCCAGTCTCAGGAAGGGCTGATCCAAATCCAGATGTGAGGCAGGAGGGGAAGAGAAATGGGCCAGAAAGGGATGGAAAGCAGTGATACAACAGGGCAAGAATAAGCTCAGATGGCTACTCAGCAAGGCATGGGCCTGTCTTGACAGAGCCATTGGAAAACCTATGTGTGACAGCAGTTTCCATCACCTCTTTCTGAACCATATGGAAAATAACCTTGCCATCATCCTGTGCATGTCTTTGCCCTGGCAGCAGTCAGCCTCCCCTGTCCCTGCAGACCGAGCAGGAGCAGTGGGAAGCCCTGGGGCACCTGCTGTAATTCCTTCCCACAGATTCTTGAAGACATAATAAACATCTTGTCTCCAATAGCTCCTACTGGTATCAAGTTTGCCTTCTTAAACACAGAGGGCAAATCTCTGTCTGATGATTCAGTTTCTTTGGCAATAACAAGTATTAAAGAGAGGCTCAACATTTGGTTTGGCTTGCACCTATTGACCTGGGTAATGATTTAACACCTTGAAGTTTGTCTCAGGCTGTGGATCTTGGCGAGAACGGGAATGGAGCGATCTGTTTATTCATTGGAACAGGAGATCAGCTTACTGCACCTGTGAAAAATGTAGGCTGTGTTTGGAAACTCGGAGTTTGGAAAAGAAAGCTAGAAATGTGTCATGTCCACAGTATAAGTTCATTTTTAAAGAGAGCAGATTATTGGCAAATGAATTAAACATCTGAACTGTACGGGAATGCTATGAATCCCCAGCACAACCAAGGCACAGTAAGCAAACCAGGGCATAGTAAGCAAAGTGGAAATAGCCCCGAGCTGAAAGAGGGCAGACGTACGATAAAATAAATAGGATGGTGGGAAAAGGAGGGTGACAGCATGCACTAGCCTTCAGGGTTGTTGTGAATCATCTGAGTATGTATATGTTTTAAACAGAGACAAATGAGCAGTCATTAATAACTGCTTTGCATAGCCAGCTTCAAGTGATAGAAGGCAGATTTGAAGAGACCTGAGGATGAAGTTGCATGCTTCAGTTAAGCTGATCTATCGGCAGAAAGGCCGGGGGGGGGAGGGAGGGGGGAGAGCATCCCAGTGTCTGCCCAGCCCCTGCTGCCAACCATGTGCTGTGTCCCCTTTCCCTGCCTTGCACTGGCCCTGGTCAGAGCCAGCTCAGCTCACCCCACCGGGGAGAAAGTGGGGTCCTATTTGCCAGATCACTTCTGCGTCGAGTTACCGAGCTGACCCTGGGCGGGCCATGGAGGGTGAGCACTCAGGCGATGCAAAGCCCGGGCATGGCCAGGCTGGAGGGCACCTGGCCAGGCAGGGGAGCAGCACGGCATGGGCCTGGCTATGCCGTACGCTATTGCTGCTCCCCCAAGGTGACACTCACCCCGCGCCGCGAGATGAGGCAGCCAGGCACGGTCCGTGGGGATGCAGCAGTTGGGAGGATGGGATGCAGGGCTCAGGGCAGCATCAGCCCAGTGGCAGCCATGAAAGGGCAGCGGCCTGAGGGACTTTGTGGGCAGGAGAAGGGCCTTGAAGAAGATATGGATTGGAGCAAAGGGCAGCTGGTCTGGGTGAAGTAGGGGGTTTGGGGAGAAGAGCTTGGAGCTGTCTCGGATACTCACTATGTTCAGTACAATGCTGGGTATAAATAGTGATGAAGAAAACCTGACAAGGAATTGAAGACTGTAACCATTAGCACAGGAAAACCAGCCATGAGTAAAATTACAATCTGCAAGCGCAAGCTTCTGTGCTTCTTCCAGCAGCAGCAAGAACGTCCTGGCGACAACCACGTCTTGGGTGAACTCTCTGAGGTGCTGTGAGGTGCTCCTGATGGCATGGGCTTGATGTCTGTGTGGGCACCCTGCACAGGGAGCCTGGTCGAGGTGAGGGACCGGTCTGCCTCTGTGCTGGAAGCAGCTGTGCTTCCCAGAGCCCAGGGGTCCAGTAAGGCTGGTTCCCGGCAGCTCCACACGCACGGACGTTTTTTAGTAGGCG